GATAAACGGCAGGCGAACTGTGAGATCAAAGCTGAAGTGTTTAATTAAACTTACAATGAACAGAATGCAGGACAGAAGCCAAAGCCAGATAATTGTGAATGTAAATCCTTTAGCAGACAGAAATGATCAGGAAGAAGCATTAACAACAAAAGAAACAAAGGAAACCTGGCAGAATATACACCGGGTCAACTAGTAATGAACGAGCAACAGCTGAGTGGCAATTAACTCCCAGACAGAAGGTGTGATGGGGCAGATGTGGACGAAGGTGCAGGCTTTATCACATTGAAACAGGAAACAAAACATGGAAATTAAAAGTGATCACATACCAAAACATAACTTATTTAGGTTTGGAATACTTAACCAGAGAAACTGCATTTTTGCAGAAACTGCAGTGTGAATGCTGAGGACTGAAATTAGCAACAGAAGTTCAATTCAGTTTATTTCTACAGCGCTAAGTCACAACATGTGTCGTCTCAGGGCACGGTACAAAAACATTCACGTACATTATAAAAGCCAAGCGGAAACTGAGTTGTTAAAACTAAAACAAACAAACAAACCAAAACACCAGCTAAAAGCTAAAGCCATTTTTTTCTCTTTTGGCTGCTCCCTTCTTCAGGGGTTGCTAGAGTGAACTAACTCGCACAAAGATTTGGCAATTGATTATACACCTGATGCCCTTCCTGACACAGCCACAGACCACTGAGCTACCAGCCCTCTGTGTGGAGCACAGAGCTGCCATCTAAGGCGCCCAGGGGAGTAAATGGTGGAGGTTAAGTGCCTTGCTCAAGGGCCCAGGGTGGGGCAAGTGAGGGTGGAGGCAGGTGTGGGGGCTTCACCTTTCCCACCTACATTTAATGTTGTCAGTATGGGGAGTTGAACCAGCGATCTTCCAATCACAGGCCCACCTCACACAGTGATTGCTGGACATGGTAAATGGACTGTTCTTTACTTATATAGCAACTTTCTGTCTTATTTCAAGATACTCAAAGCGCTTTACACTACAATCTGTGTCCTCATTTACCCATCCACACAGCACTCTACTAGATCTCTACAAAGCTAATTGAACAAATCATTCTAAAGAGACTAATCAGAGCTTTATCACATTCAAAAACCGATGGGACACACATCAGAGGCTATGAGGGGTTCAGTGTCTTGCCCAGGGACACTTCGGCATGTGACTGCTGGTGGATTCGAACCCCCAACTCTCGCATTGGAGGACGACTGCTCTAACCACTCAGCCACAGCCACCCCTTATGGGGCACCGGCGACTCCTGTGATCCAAAATGGAAGAAGCGGGTAAAGAAAATGGATGGATGGATGGATGGATGGATGGACAAAGTTTTTGAAGAAAACTTTCATTAATTATAATTATCCATCCATCCATTTTCTTCCACTTATCCGGGTTTGGGTCGCGGGGGTAGCAGCTTAAGTAGGGAGGCCCAGACTTCCCTCTCCCCAGCCACTTGGGCCAGCTCCTCCAGGGGAATCCCGAGACGTTCCCAGGCCAGCCGAGAAACGTAATCCCTCCAGCGTGTCCTGAGTCTTCCTCTGGGTCTCCTCCCGGTGGGACGTGTCCGGAACACCTCACCAGGGAGGCGTCCAGGAGGCATCCTAACCAGATGCCCGAGCCACCTCAACTGGCTCCTCTTGAGGGCACTCTACCCTTTTCCGGCTCAAGACCATGGCCTCGGATTTGGAGGAACTGATCTTCATCTCGGCTGTGTAGCACTCGGCTGCGAACCGCTCCAGCGAAAGCTGTAGATCACGATCTGATTAAGCCAATAGGACCACATCATCTGCAAAAAGCAGAGACACGATCCTAAGGCCACCAAAACTGTGTAAGGATGGTATCCCTCTGTCAGTCTCGCTGTGTCTGTACTCCCTAGTGTCTCTCAGTAATTACCTGATCAGCTCCACCCCGCGTGTCCTCCAGGTGTTTGTAATTTGTCTCATCTAGTCTGTGTGTATTTAAGCTCTGGTCTGTGTCTCAGTCATTGTCGGTGCATCGTCTGGTACAGCCCCTGGTTTGTCTCCTGTGTTCCGTGTATAACTGACCTGATCCTGTCTGTGAGTTTTGCTGCCACGCCAGCTATTTATTTTTGATTATTAAAGTGATTATTATTTTACGTCCTGGCCTCTGCGTCCTGTCTGCACATGGGTTTGTTCTTGTTCAGCTCAGCCTGAAAATCCTGACAAACTGATCCTCTCAACACCTTGGCTGCACCTAGAAATTCTGTCCATCAAAGTTATGAACAGAATCGGTGACAAAGGGCAACCTTGGCGGAGTCCAACTCTCACCGGGAACAAGCCCGACTTACTGCTGGAAATGCGGACCAGGCTCTGACACCGGTCATACAGGGACCTGGTACTCCATACTCCCAGAGTACCCCCCACAGGGTTCCTCGAGGGGAGCGGTCGAACGCCTTCTCCAAGTCCACAAAGCACATGTAGACCGGTTGGGCAAACTCCCACGCACCCTCCAGGACCCTGCTGAGAGTGTAGAGCTGGTCCAGTGTTCTATGACCAGGATGAAAACCGCACTACTCCTCCTGAATCCGAGGTTCAACTATCCGACAGACCCTCCTCTCCAGAACCCCCGAATAGACCTTACCAGGGAGGCTTAAGAGCGTGATCCCCCTGTAGTTGGAACACACTCTACGGTCCCCCTTTTTGAATTGGGGGACCACTACCCCAGTCTGCCAATCCAGGGGAACTTCCCCCGATGTCCACACAATATTGCAGAGTCGCGTTAGCCAACGCAACCCTACAACATCCAGAGCCTTAAGGAACTCCGGGCAAATCTCATCCACCCCTGGGGCCTTGCCACCGAAGAGCTTTTTAACCACCTCGGTGACCTCAGCACCAGAGATTGGAGGGCCCAACCCAGAGTCCCTAGGCTCCACTTCCTCAGTGGAAGACGTGCCGGTGGGATTGAGGAGGTCTTCAAAGTATTCCACCCACCGACCCACAACATTTCAAGTTGAGGTCAGCAGCACACCACCCCCACTATAAACAGTGTTGATGGT